ATAAATAAATGAATCAGATATAAAAACTACATTGTACAGTTGTAGAAAGGTATACAATCATATACTAGTACATTATAGTAACGTTTTTAATGTTTACTACATCTAGGACATGCTATTTTCCTAGTATATTTTAAATGAATAGGACCAGATAAAAACATTGTAATATATATAAAGGCAACAGTAGTATACCGGTGTTCAAAAGTCATAAATCAATTGAGAGAAAACAAATCCGGGTTACAAACCAAAACCGAGGGAAACACATCAACTATAAGAGGAAAACAAAAGAACAACAGGAACACCGAAGTGCAATACAAACAAACGCCAACACACATAGAAACGAACTATTTGATAACAACTGCCATATTCCTGACTTGGTAGAGGACATTTTAAGAACAAATGGTGGGTTGAATATGGTTTCATGGCATGCCAAACCTCCCGCTTTATGACAATGTGTTAAAAAATATCGCTAAAACACTACGTGACAGAAATACAGCACAAATACACGCAAGAACATTCATGACAGAGAAAAAGACAAATTTACAAGCAAAAAAAAAAAAAAAAAAGATATAAAACAGTACCGTTAAATTCTCCACAAAATTCACATAAAAGGGGATTTAAACTAGGTGTTGGATCAAGGTTTAGCATGTGCTATTCATTGTAATGCACACTAGTTTGCTATATGCATGGTATGGCTTCAACAAAGCCAAATTGACCGAACCACTATTAGCAAGACACATATAATTTTATTTTTTTTTATGAAAAATTTAATACATGATCAGATGTTCACTACATGTAAAAACAAAGTTTAAGCAACTATGTTTTAACTGCTAACTGTAAAAAATTGGCTAACTTATTAAATTTTAAAAATTATTAATTTTGTTTGATCCTCAAGTAAAGACGTATACATTCAAGACAGAAACTTGTTGGTAGACTAATATCACACATGTTCCAAGACGGAAAAGAAGATAGTAAAAAATTAGAAAATGGTATCAGCGCAAATCCGTTTCAGTTCATAAAGGTGGAGACGAACATGCTCTGTATTAGGATTTTGATTATCTAGAAAGTCGATCATTTACTAGAAGGCTTTAGAAGCTCCTTCTTGCCATTCATTGGTTTATAGATATAAGTTTATATGAATAATGTCTTTATTGAGATCTCTACAAACGACATTACAGTAAAATAAGATGTTATATCCCATTTGTATACGAAAAACCAACATTGGAATAATCCCCAAAAAATTAACAAACGCCTATTAAAACGCAATTTGTAAGATATAGATAAACAAATAAGAAGGGGACCTAGCGTTTGCACCTAATAGCTTTTTTGTTTGTTAAGAAATATATTCACTAGAACATAATCATTTCTAATGACTTCTTCATTCAGTTGTGACTATGGACACAAAAGGTCATGTTCTATATTACCATTTTTGTTATATGCCTGCTAATTACGTAAAAGGTCATAACATTGGTTCCACTACTAACTTTATTTTTTTATTTGTTTGTATTGACTTTTTTGTAACTGACACATACCACTTTCTTACCGTAATGAGATAAATCAGATCCTTTTTTTAATTAAAATTACATTTTATTCCTCATGCTAAATGTTAACGTCTGAATAATCAAGTATTTCAGACTAAGGTTTCTCGATTGTCATTTCTCCTTTTTAAAATTTTCTTGACTGCCGATATGCATATTTTTTACCTTAATTTAGATCTGTAAGAAAGGAAGATGATAAGCATTAAAACTATTAAGAATCACTTGTTGCAATTAAAATTTGGATTATCTTGTTCAAAATGATAACACAGTAGCTTAAATGTAATGACGGTATTATTTCTTTGATCATTTTTTATTGCATTCTAACTCCATATATATATTAATATCAAGATCATTAAACAGACTTGGAAAACCTGTTAATCCTGCTTTTAGCAAAAGTAGTTCAAATATAGAAGATGATACTTCTTTTATTCAATTTGAAACCTATGACTTACTTTAAAATTTAATTGAAATAAAATAAGCAATAACTTAATAATCTTTGTCATGTTTGTAGGACAAAGGTATAGCTACAAAGAATATTCTTTTATTTTTAAGAGTTTCAAAGAAAGAAAATACAAATTGCGTTTTTTCTACTAAGTGACTGCTACATGGTGAACTATTTCCTTTGTAGGACCTTTGATATTGTAAAAGATACCACCAGATAATAGTAATGTGCATTACGAACACATTGGTTTATAATGAGTTACAAATGTATCAATATTTGATAAAATAATTTAATACTTTTCTCATTTTTGGATCATTTGTTATGATGAACCTTAACAATTCCTACTAAAACATGTCAGTAGAACAACATTTCAATGCTAGCTCTGTTCTTTGTTCTATTTAGAAGCTAGATTTGACGCGGAAATATGAATGAAATATATAGATATATATTTGTCATGTAAATAACCAAGAATAAACATCGCAACTTGAATGTGTGTTTGAAAAAAACAAACTTCCTTATTACTGTTAACTAATATATACAACTCTTTTTTATATAAATCCTTCGTTTTTTAATTTCTGCTTATAACTCTGAAACAATGTATCGTCCGTGAATTCTTGTACAAAGTTCCTCAATCTATTAATAAATAAGCTGTAATAAACAGTTTATATATATATATATCGTAAATGACAGACACGTAAAATAAAGCTTTGTTAGACAAAGGAATCTTTCCATGATACTTGGTTTAAATTGAATTTTTCGATTTACGTACTATGAAAAATGACTACGAAATTAATTCCCTCCGAGACAATTCGCTTAGGTGTTTGCAAAGAACGAAGGACGCCAACTGATGGGAAAAGACAACTGTTGGGAAAAGACAACTTTGGTTCATTTTCCAAACCTACTTGTTATAATTTTCAGAACTATATTTGATTTACGTAAATATATTTTTTACCACCGTTAGTTTTCTATGACGTCTTTTGTGGATATTTTCGTTTTAAGCCCTGGTGTTGTCACTTTCGTTTCTCCTTGACTTAATAGTTTTGAATTTCCCTTTAGTATCTTTCATCTCTTTTTAACAGGGTCTGTTCTATCGAATTTCATATTTAATATAGTCCGTGTGAGTTCTTAACTTTTATAAAAAAAAAAACTTAAATCCAAATGTTACATAGACTAGCTGAATTTGTATTCTTTATTTTTCTAATTGTCATACAAATTCGGGTTATTTATTCTAGAATTTTTTGTCAATAAGTTAAAATAGATGCCCAATATGTCTCTATAGCAAATATGTACTTCACAATCCAACCTTTACAAAGGAGGTACAGTTTGTAACCACAACAGCCATTTAGTTGTCCTTAGTAGTGCCATTCATTGTAATGCAAACACAAGACCTTTGACCTATATTATTTCCTTTCATTCTCAAATTATGTTGTTCAGAAGGATGAATAGAACACCTGACCAGTTGCTACCAACGTCAACTCATTTTCTCCATTACCGTTTTGTTTTAGCGTATTCAGAATTTTTTGACATTATACCTAATGGACGACTTTATATTTTACTAAAGCAAACATTCTGATAAATTATCAGAGTTCGTATACTACATAGATATGATTACACTGCAAAAAAAGCAGTGCAATTAATCATTGTGATTTTTTAGAATTTAGTTTTGAAGATTTGTAGAACTCAAACAGATTATTCAGGAATTATTCAAACTGCATATTCATCGTACAATAGTTCATGTAAAATGAAAGGCATGCTTGAACATGTTGAAGACTACACTTTCCGAACATCAATTATTATGAGAAAACATATGTTGTAATTTTTCTTTCTTGTTATTTCATTTATTGTAATATGGTTGATGTAATTTGTTTTTGCAAAACGGAGCCTCGAACAGACGATTCAGGAATTATTCAGACTGCTTTATCAAGCACTACAAATTGAATCGGTTAAACCGTAATAATATCTTTAAACATATGCATATCTTGTGACATTATGAATACTTGTTTTGATTTGTAGTCGATGTACAACGTATGTTCTGTTGTAATTTGTTTTAAAGGGTGATAAATACATATACAATATGATATATGTATGTAGAGTGTTTGTTTGTTTTCATACAATTTCAGTGTTTTTATTCTGCAATTCAAATTCACGCGTATACGAGGAGAAAATTACATGACTTATACTATCAAATGTACTATATTGTATTGTTTATTTGCGTAATTCTCTGTCCGTAAGGTTATACTGTATTCATGTCATGTAATGGTGTCATTTTAGTGTTATATTTAACATTGCCATAAACGTGTGAGGTTTGGCTGGCCACAAAACCAGGTTCAACCCACCATTTTTTTCTTAAAATGTCCTGTACCAAGTCAGGAAAATGGCCACTGTTATATTATAGTTCGTTTCTGTGTGTGTTACATTTTAATGTTGTGTTTCTATTGTGTCATAGTTCTCCTCTTATATTTGATGTGTTTCCCTCATTTTTAGTTTGTAACCCGGATTTGTTTTTTTCTCAATCGATTTATGAATTTTGAACAGCGGTTTACTACTGTTACCTTTATTTAAGCGCCGACCACAAAGGGGACCAAAAAATCAACTGTAACGTATATAGTAATTTCAACATAACCGTTGCACAACAAAGATACAAATAGATATTTTTTGAATACACTACAAAGGTGTAACGTGTATGGTGTAATGGTGTATGGTTAATGGTGTAATGGTGTATGGTGTAATGGTGTAATGGTGTATGGTGTTAGTGGGAAGTTTACACCATCCAAGGACTGTAGTAAGCAAATATATATGTATATACCTGATTTGCGTATAATAGCTGGCTGATAGCAGGTCAAATACTTTATAGCATTTTTTTATTTTTTTATTTCACTAGATCATATTACTAATAAAATTGAGAATAGAAATGGGGAATGTGTCAAAGAGACAACTACCCGACCATAGAGCAGACAACAGCCGTCTATAATTATAGTAAAAATGATATCAAATATTCGGAAAATACCAAAAAGTGTACTTACCACGTTCATATCGTAATTTTTCCTGAATTTTTCACATATATTCTATAACATTCGCTCATCATTATGTTCATTCGTTTACTTATTCGAATATGAAATAGCATAACAGAAAGATTAACTTCCTTGATAGAAGTTGTTTCCTTTTAACAAGTTTACTCAACGGAAATTTATTTCCTTAGAATCCCCTATTTTTTTACTGCTAAAATTAGAAATAGCCATACTATGTTGCATCTATACGCATATTTGATAAACCCATGTTACGTCCAATACGTTGCTTATCTTAATCACGATTACACACAGTTACGCGGGACTTGTTTAAGCATGCCTTTTTTTTTAAATGTTTAAAACATTAACATTTTAACGAAATTTTTGCAGTCTGATAATTGTCAACTGGGATCATCAAGATTTGCCAGACAAAGAAACTATAATGTATGGAAAAATATATAAAAAAAACCTGGGAGAAGGAAACACAACAGATTGTGTGATAAGTGTAACCCAATAATTTCAAGTATATATTAAAAACAGAAAATATTGCGACACTTGCGATTGTATGAAGTAGATATGAAACGGATTTTTAGTCTGTTTTCAACTGAAACTATTTGATCGTCAGTGAATGCTAGATGCATTACTTTTTCGATTTCATTCTCTTAAACTTTGTTTATTAGTTTTAAATCATGTATTTCTTGTGGAACATTCAAAGGTGCATTTAGCATTTACAGAAGATGTTAACAAGAGCGAACATGTGAAACCAAAATGTCAATCACAGGAAAATTTTTAAAACATACTCACGCACACACAACCTGTGATTTAGACATAAGATAAATGTTTACGAGATAACAGCCAACCAAGAAATATTTTATTATCAAAATCAATGCAAATACAGTTCAATTTGCACGTTATATAGCCCACACTGTATAACACACGTTAAATGGCCGAAAACAAAAAGGACAAACAAGCAACAAGTCATACTGAGTAGAAAAAATTGGAAAACTGTCGCAGAAGGTTCCGTCTCTGATTCTGGCCTAGTTGTTACAGATCAAATAATTATGGATCTTGTTTTGTACATTTACATACTGATTTGGACATCTGGATGATTGAACGCACCGGTGTTAAGCAAGCCCTGTAATAAATTTTGGGTGTTAATTTTACAGTTTTTTGTGGTTTCAAAATTTACAATTTAGGAAGAAATTTTTGTATTTCCAAGTATTTTTTGTTTGGCGGGTGGGAGCCAATATATTTGCATTGAGCACATTTTTTACGTGTATTTTTCTGGCGAGTAATTTTTAGCAAATTTTTTTGAGTTACATCCTTCACCTTTTGTTTTTTTTGCATCGTATGTTACGAAATTCCTATGTCGCATACAAAATCATGTCGTGACATATGTCGTTGCATGTTGTGGTCCTTGATGGGCAAATATTAATTCGAAACGCGGTTTAAGTCCCATGATAGCCTTAAATAAGATTACATAAACAGTTTCTCAGATTAATTTGCTCTTCTCATGAGTGCAAATTGGAGCCACATTTTTTTAACGGTCGATCCATCAAAATTGGCATTAATGTACCTCTGGGGATAGGTACAACAATACAATTTTGATTTGGGTAAAGCTCGCCTGGTTCGGCAACACCAGCGAAAATAGTGACACAATCCTGTAGGATATTACTTTCTCCTATATGATTTCTTACAATCCTGCAGGATATTATTTTCTCCCATATGATTTTTAAAAATCTTCCAGGATTTTAAGAAATCCTATAGGATAAAGTCATAATCAAGTAGGATATTTTTAATATCCTACAGGAAATTAAAATTCTACGGGATTTATAATCCCTTAAGAGAAATAAAATATCCTACAGGATATATTTTCTCCATTAGGACTAAAAAAAATCCCTTAGGAGAAATAAAAGCATTTCCTACAGGATATTTTTTATCCTATAGAATATTTTTCTAATAAAATAATCCTGTAAGACAAAATGTAGGATAAAATGTATCCGACAGGATTAATAAAAATCCTAAGGGATTTCATTACAGAAAAAATATCCTGTTGGATAAAAAAAATCCAAAGAGACAAACATAAATCCTGAGGGATACGTAGTAGAGAATTGATAAGAAGTAGTGGATTCGTAAACGATAATCAACGAGCGACTTTAGTCGCAAGTTGATTATCGTTTCCGAATCCACTACTTCTTATCAGTTCTCTAGCTTAACCCATTTCTAGTAAAACGACTGTCTGTTTTATGTTTTGACAATGAATCAACGGATTTTCATAAACATAATTTTGTATTTTGTCTTTTTTTATTCTATAATAGCTGGAAATGATTTTATCCACACGGATCACAACTATATTTAAGTTAACATAAGTTTAATATAACTTAAATAGGTTGTTAGCTCCCCTTTTTAATACCAGATTCCATATTTGTATATAATTATTTCATTTAGTGTTTAATCTTTACGAATTATTTGAATTATATAGATTTATGATCTATTCAAAAAGAAATATATTATATACTGAATTTATTTATCTTTTTTTGAAAATTACCAAAATTTAGAAACCTTTGAAATTTACATATATAGTATTTAGCAATAAGTATTTGTTTACAGCTGATTAAAGATTGGCTACACCTCAGACGTACTATATCAAGTACGTAAATTAAGCGTATTTGCAACAATTTTGCCATATCATGGTGCTTCAGTTGATATTTATTGCCTTCCCGAATTAAACAAAATTAATTGCTTAATTTCTTACTTGAACAATTATACATGAATTTTGTTTAAACTGGTTCCCTATCATTAAGTGTAGATTATTTTAATGTTATTACATTTGGCATCCATCGTCAACCAGTCAATAAACTAGTATTATCTGTGGTACGCATTTTGAATCCCCTGCCGAATTGCTCTTGCTACAGATGTACAATGTATAATTATGTCAATGTTTACTTGTACATTCGAGCTGTTCATAGCCGTGATCGTCTAGTCGTTGGTACCGAAAGACATAACAGTGACATTAACAGTGCCAAGTTCAAACCTTGTACCCGGAACGAAATTTTTTCATTGTAATTTTTTTCTCTGCCAAAATATTGTTTTAATCTTAGAGGTATTATATATTTTATTTTCAGGGCGATGATTTTTCTTCTGCTTTTACAGTCAGAAAAGCAGTTTTACGGTGACGTAGTAGCTTATATATCACACTTTATTCAAATTAGAGTCCTTTCGATGTTGATGTATATTTGGACCATCTTTAATCAAACAAAGAAAAAATTATTGATAGTGTGATATCTTTATAAGACTAAAACCATAAGTAAGCATTTGCTACATTTATGATGAAAAGGAAAAGTCCTTGTACGTTAAAAGTGACAAGTGTAATAGGCATATGGATGTTTATTTTATCACGGAATTGTACTAATATATACAATTCTTTGATTCTGCAGTGTTTAGAACTAGACTAAGTGTGTATAATAGCCACAATCGTATAAAGATTCATCAGTTCATTATAACGATGTTGAAAATCGACCAATGTTCAAACCTGACATTAGGAATAAACTCTTTTTTTTATGATTTTAAAGAACAAATGTTTTATTTATTTTTTCTCTTGTAGTCATTTTGTATTTCCATACTGCTAAATAACTATACTCAAGAATGTTCAAATGTAGAACATAATCTTCCTTAAAAAAAATAACTCCCAAAATTAAACAATTTAAAAACGTTTGAAAAGAACATGAACAAATCAAGACATAATATGTATACTTTGTTAGATAACAAAAGCGAATTATCTATGAGACCGAAATACAGTTTATTGACATGTTATGACAGTTATGCGCTTTAAGAGTGTTATTTAAATAATGATTTATGTCATCACTCGTGGTATAGTGGTAGCATGCATAGACTGAAGACTCTACTGATTATGAAGAAAATACACGCGAGTTCGAACCCTTCATATGCCACTCGTTTTTGAGAGGATTGTATATGGTAAGTTAAAAGTTTAAAGTTATGATATAAGTTATCTTAAGTTAACACAGTGGTCAGTTGATTCTTGAAAAATAATCTACTGTAGGACAAATAGACTGACGTCAGAGAAATGGGTTAAAAAAAATCCTAAGGTGGAATAAAAGTCCTATGGGAGATTAAATTAAATCATGAAGGAGAAAAAGATTCTATGGGAGACAAAAAATCCTATGGGAGAAAGAAATATCCTATGGGAGAAAAAAATATCCTGAGAACAAGACCTAAGGAAATAGAATACTTTTTATATGTTCTGTTACTTAGTAAAAGTATTATTTTATTTGAAATATTCCAAGATTCCATTTTTCAGGAAAAACCAATTTTACTACCAATAACACAAAATTCCCGATAAAAGTACTCCAAGCCTGGAGCTTGCATGTCAGTTACTGCTAGTAGTCCTGTGTTCGTTTATGTTTATTATTGTCATCTTCTGTTACCTACTCTAACATCAGACTCGTACTTCTTCTAATTTAAGTTTTACCCGTGTGTTTTGCTGTGTGGTTGTTTATTCCACATTTGCTAAAAGTAAAGGGGGAGGGTTGAGATCCCGAAAATCATGTTTAACCCAGTTGCATTTTTGCGCCTGTTCCAAGTCAGGAACCTCTAGCCTTTGTCAATCTTGTGTGTGTGTTTTATTTTCTAATTTAGGTTCATTTGTATGTTTCGGAGTTTACTGTAGCGTCCATTTCGCTGAACTAGTATACATTATTGTATAGGGGCCAGCTGAAGCCAGCCTCCTGGTGCGAGATTTTCTCTCTGCATTGAAGACCCATTTTGAACTTTCAGGGCACATGTACTAATCCCTATGGTTTTACTGAAACAAGACAATGACACCATCTAAACCAAAACTTAACCTGTGACAAAAAATCAGAAGCAAATTCAAACAACACATGTTGTTGAGGCTAAGTATAACACCAGTTCGTAATTTAAAGTAGGAGCAAGTAAAAAATATGTGTCCAAAAGATCTTAAAAGTAATCATACGTTTGCATTCATCTCTGTTTAGATGTTATCCAAATAAGAGTTCACTGTTTTATGTATGTTCTGAGAGATAACAATCTGTTGAACTATTAATAAGACAGACTGACAGACAGACAG